CGTCCACGAGGAGCAGGCCTACCACTACGACAAGCAGGCCGCCTCCACCCCTCTCCGTTGCCTCGGTATCTCGCCCTGGGGCTACGTGCGTGAGCGACACTGCCTGGTTACCGGCGTAAGTCATGCGAGCCTCTGTTTGTGTGTGCCAATAGAGCCTCTCGCTCAGGCGACCTTTGACCTTTCTTCACCCTCACCACTCGCCCAGCTCCACTTTGTCTACTTCCCGCCAACCAAATCAACCACATCAACCAGATTCGGTCAATTTGGACGCAGGAGACGAGAGAGCATTTGTCCACTGAGTTGCTAACCTGAAGGGGTCACCCGTTGCCACGGGCCCGAGCAACCGGTTGTTGAATGGTCACTTTGCTGGAAGGTCTGGAACCACTTGGCGTGTCCACCACGAACGAGGCAAATGGACGCTCTCGTCGAGCCTCTCTTTCGACGAGTGGAGAGAATTGGCCAAATGGTATCGCAGTTGGGTCGAGGTGGTGGGAGCGAATGTGCCAGAATGACTTGGTCACCGTGTTCGGTGAGGTCGTGTTGGGTTTTCGTGTGTGCCGCCGCGAGTCAGACACATCGACACTGCAAGAGCGCCTGATTGGGAGAGACGAGATGACGTACCACGAGGTGGAAACGTTCTCCTCCGACCGGTCAAGACGACAGGGTTCTACGCGAGTTCATCGAAACGCCAACGTGAAGAAGTGAACCCGTCGTCCTTCCACGATCCGACAATCAGAACTCCACTGCTCGTTGGCGAGACCAATTCACGGACTTCGACACGGAAGTCGAGTCACACCCAACTCACATTGGTCTTCTATGAAACCCACTTTTACTGGACATGTCTAAAAATGGCGTCCTGCCTGTGTACGCCATCTCGCAAAGCATCTGCCGCGACGTAGATTTGTCGGCCAACCCTTAGTCTGAGCCAGTAAACAAGCAATCTGCTAAATGGGGTGCAACCACAATTGGTAGATCTTAGGATGGTTTATGCGAGACTGGCGGGTGTGATTCACAACGCATGGGAAGCTTAGCTTTAAAAGGTCTGCATAGCTGGGCATTGGGTAATCATACACACTCAGTCTGTATGTGTGAAAGCAAGTGTGAAGTGGAACGTGTCTGTTATGGGGCGTGAGGAGTAAGGTGTGAGGGTAAGATGAGAGTGCAGAGTGTGAGTATAGAGTGTGGGGCGTGAGCGTAAGGTGAGAGTTTGGAGTGTGATTGCAAGGCGCAAGGGGTGGGGTGTGAGAAGTAATGTTTAAGGTGTGGGATGTGAGTCGTAGGTTTCAGGTGCGAGATGTGATTCGTGACGCCCAAGATGTGGGGTGTGAGCGTAAGATGAGAGTAGGGAGTGGGTTTGTAAGGTGTAGGGTATGGGGCGTGAGGAGTAAGGTGTGAGTGTAAGATGAGTGCAGAGTGTGAGTATAGAGTGTGGGGCGTGAGCGTAAGGGGAGATTTTGGAGTGTGATTGCAAGGCGCAAGGTGTGGGGTGTAAGTGTGTTGTGTAAAGTGTGGCGTGTGAGTCGTTAGGTGTCAGGTGCGAGATGTGGCCAGACCAAGTTGGTCAGAGATTATTTCAGATTTTGGCTTTATAAGTAGGCTCTCGTGACTACTAGTGGCTAGCAATTATGAAATGTATTCTCCTTGTTTCCTTTCGGACGGGGAGAGACTGTGGGATTGAGTTTGTGGGAAATATTCACTCATCAGTCCTCTCGTCACTGTGACCCAAATAGGGTTGATGCATCTCACATACAAGGTGATCTATGAATTGATGATTGATGCGAATTAAATTTGGGTTTTGAGGACTCTCTTGTTTCATAATTGTAGAGCTTACTACCATTTTGAGTGAAAGTGTGCGGTGGAGAGATTCGAAGATCAATTCGTTGACTCGTTAGCTTGAATTTGGTTGTGACGATGCCACCTTGCTCTGAAGCTGTTCGTCACATGAAGGACGAAAGATTAGCACCTTTTCACCGGAATCGAACGAGATTGCCTTGGCAACAGCGTCAGCATGAATGTTCCAGTAAAGCAAATCAACAGCTGACCGACGGGTGTCAGGAGGCCATTTAACTTCACTATGCTCCATTCTATTCTCATGCTGACTGTATCAAAAACTAATCTTAAATGAGATACGACAAGAAACTGGGTTTCCATTACTCTTCTAAGGGGACACATTGTTGCGGAGATGTTCATTTCTTATTCCACAGCGAATAAATCAGTTAAGTTCTTGACAAGTGGCAGAAATAAAAAGCGGGGCAGGACACCCG